TATCTGGGTTTTTTTAATTATTATTATTATTTATTGTTTTTCTTTTATTTTAAAGTTGTCTGCAGATTTAATTATTTGGAAAGAAAATGAAGAGCACGGCCAGGCCTTGGAGCGCAATGGCAAAGCAAGGGAGTCACGGCGCGGACCGCACAAAATCGCTCTCTACCACCTCAACAGGAATGAAGACCTCCAAGTCCTCAACCTCCCTGGCCTTCGAATCTCGGCTCAGCAAGGTACTAGCCAGGGAGAGCCACATGAGCTGTGCAGCCTAGTTCCAGACTGAAACTTTGGGATGGTCCTGGAGCATCCTGGCATTTTGAGGTTTCTATTGAGCTCAGGCACTTAGTTAAGCACAGGGAGACAGTATTGCAGTGTGCTGTATATTGGATTTAAGTGCATTTCTGAAAATATCTTGTATGGAGTAGAGGAATTACTGTATCTATACAAGGCATGAGTGAGTTTTGTTTCAGCTTCTCTGCCAAGGAGTTGCCTTAATGCTAAAGTCTGGAAAAAAATAGATAACAGTATTATCCTCAACTTATATTAATGCATATAAAGAAATACAAAAATTTATTAATAGTTGCATAGAATTCCTAAAATCTGTTAAAATCTTTCCTGAAATCTTTCCATTAAGACAAAATATATTAACAAAAACTATTCCATGCAAAGGAACACAAGCATTTTATAAAGCCTGTCTTTCCATGTAGACATCTTTCAAAAACAGCAAAAGCTTCTGCCAAAATAGTGTTTTTAAGAGAACAGAGCAATGCACTTCAAATGCTGCTGCATCCGTATGCTTGTATCCAGCAAACAAAACTAATCTCATGGCCCAAATACAGGCCAAGATAACAGTGGTGAAAAGGGAGTACAGGCTTCCTGTTTATAACTGTTTTCAATAGTATTGCTTAAACAATACATAATAGTGTAATAAATGTAATAATCTTTAATCCTCACAGCTTCTCAAGCACAGGAGTAATTTACTTCACTTGCTTTGCAGGCTCCTGGAAGCTCCAAGCACTTTAGCAATGGGGTATTTCAGTCTAGGGCTGCAGGCAAGTTATAGTTGTCATAAATATTTGCTCTCTGGGTGAGGCAAGTATCTTTAAAGGGAATGCGACTGAGGTGACTAATGCAGGAAGGCTACAGAACCTGATAGGGTTGATTCACGTAGGGTGTTAAATGTAGAGGGTTGTCTTCCAACTACAGCTAACATCTTCACACTCATGTTCATCTCATGCAGGCTCTTCAAAGTAGACATCCTCAAAGGAACAGTTAGAGGCAACTGTGACAGAGCTTACTGAAAAGCCACTTTAGAGAGACTGCAGAGAGCCTTTTCTAAAGGTCAGAAAGTCAGATTGTTCTGCTTGGCTCCTACAAGTGAGCTGGCAAAAGCTCTGCCAGAAGGCAGAACCGTTAGATGACTGGTTTCCTGGAGCAGATCAACACTTTGGCTATTGAAACTTAAATGCTCACAGGGTCCAGGAAACCACAGACTCTGAGTCAGAGGAAGAGATGAAAGAGAGAAAGAATGGGAGTTGAGAGAGGGATTTCATTTTACTTAAAGATTTTTACATATTGAGAGCCACTAAATAGGGAGTATGATTGTTGTGTGCACGCTTCTCTCTTAACTTGAGTAGTGGTTCCCAGCCTGTGGTTCATGGATCCTCCAGGCCTCACTGGGCAACTTCTAAGCAAGTGGTTTTGATATGTGAAGGCAGTTTAAGGCATCCACAGACTGAAAAGCATTGAAAAGCTCTGCTCTAAAGACTCTCCATAAAGTCTTGGACTTGAAAAATGCTTAAAATATTTCTCTTTGGGGTAGTAATTAGAGGCTGTTATGGAGACACTCAAATAAGGAAGCAGTTGACCAAATTCTGAGATAAGTTACGACTTCCGCTTATTGAAGCAACTTTATTGCAGTGTTTCTCTGTGTTCATGGTGCTTGAATAGCATGGGTTTCTTGAGGACGTACTTAGAGGAAGGCAGAATTTACCAACAAATCCCTGCCCTCCCCAGAAATGCACAGCAAGAATGTCCCTTGATTTGTCATGTACAAAAACCTCCCTAAGTCAATTACAGTGCTATTAGCTGATATTTTTGAGAAAAAAAAAAAAAAACTGTACAATATCTAGTATATCAAACATTTTCACTTCTTCCATCCTTAAGAAATATATCACTATTATATAAATCTGAATTCTACAGAATTTTGTGAAATGTTGCATTTCTGTGCTGTGAGTGATCACCTTGATGGTCACATGAACAAAGAGCTTTCTTGTGAACAGTTTTCAGTTTCTCTTCTGTTGAGTCCTGAAGTCTCTAGTAAGAAAGGCAGTATTAGCTCTCACCCATGATATCATTAGTTGCTCTTTCTGGGGGCTTATTTTTGTCAGAAAATGTTCATTTTCTCCCAGGATGTTGGCATTTTTTTCATCATCATCTTAACCTGTGTAATGAATTAGCTGTTGGGTCTACCCCAGGTCTTAATCTTCTGCTCACGCAATCTCTTTCTTGCAGCTGAAGAGGGCAAGCAGTGATGATATGCTCACAAAACCAGGGATGACAGCAGTTTCGGGAGTCTCAAGACTGAAGAAGACCATTACAACAGGAGCAATTTCGGAGCTTGCTGAGAGTCGACTGAAGCCTAGCACAGGTAGATACAAAGATACTGGAAGACACAGTGTATTTTATATGACACTTGCTGCAAGTGTCACTTGTTTTTTTCCAGAAACTGAGCTGAGTTTTCCATATTAAACTGTTCCTCTAGAAAGAGAGGTAGATTTTCATATATTAGAGGGTATATTTCATATATTTCAGGTTGAATTATATAAAGCTTCCCAAAAAGTAAATTGGTTGTCTTTTGTGAAAAGGCAACAGGAAGAAATAGGGGGGAAAATGAAATAGAAAAACATGATTTCCCCTGTTCTATATGCCTTTGTCTGAACTGAATTAATTGCAGGCATTGTCTTACTGAATTCAGTTTTGATCAGGAGGTCATTTTTGTTACTTAACAGTGAAATAAGGATCTGTAAGTGCCACCAGTTCATAGCAAGTATGTGGTAAGGCAGAGTCTTTCTTGACTTCCCACAGAGCGGGGATTGGAAGTGACCTCTGCGTCCTTAAATGCGAACTTGATTTCCTAGAAGGAAACTCGGGGATTCCGTAGTGCCCCCTCAGGAGCCTCCGCGGGCACTGGGGGGCCTGCCGGCCGGCTGAGGGTCCGGGCCTCGCGCCTTGTCCCGCCAGCAGCCCCGGGGCCGGCGGCGGGCGGCGGCTGCG